ATAGTGTAGTTGTACTTTCCACATCTAGCGCATTTGTATTCCACATGTAATGTACTTTTTACTCCCCTATGTAGTGCCCTGTGTGCTTCACGGCAGAGCATAGCTGCTCTCCCCTACTTAGAACATTTACTGCCTTTGTTGTCCTTGCATAATGCATATGTGCTTCCTGATGGGAACACAATGATGCTTCATCGCGGGGCTACAACGCACGCTAGAAACACGTACCATTTAAAAAACAGAAAAAATCGGCAAAACAAAACAAACGGGTAAACCCAAAGAACCAAGAGAGTGAAAAACCCAGGCAAAATCGAAATAAAAAGGTTTAAGCGAAACACCCTAATAAGCTGAAGCTCTATGAGTAAAGAGTCGATCATTCCTCAAAAGAAAAAAAATCCCTAAAAAACTAAAAGGAAAAAAAGAAGAATGAAAAGAAAGGAAACACAACCGTGTACGGGCCGCCAGGAGGGAGATATACAAAGCAGAGCCGGTGATACAACATCACGTTAGGTGCCGTTCCGTGTTACCGGGATAAATCTCCTAGTTTTTTGACCTGATCACAGTACTGAACAGCCTGCGCACTTATTACGACCACCACGACCCGTGCAAGCTAACTCCACACGATCTATGAAACGTCGCGCGCGAACCACAGTACGTGCAGCAGCGCGCATGTGGCCGGCGCTCGGATATCCCGGCCGGCCGGCCTAACGTGAGACTCTGGGGCGCGCGGAGACGGGATGGCGTCCACGGGGAGGGGATCGGGGCGGCAGAGCTGCACGGAATCACGCCTTCTGCTGCTCGCCGCATGCAGGGGGCCTGCCGGACTGCGGGGGCGGCGGCGGCCGGGAGCGGGTCCGCAGGAGGCTTCCGTCCGATCGGGGCAACGGACGGAGGAGCGATGATCGTGGGGAGTTGACGCGAACAGGATTCGGCGGCGGCTGATGGATACGCGCGCGTGGATTTTGGGTAAGGCGGCAGTTTGGATCAGATTTTAATGAGATGGCTAAAAGCAATGTTGGGGATATAACTATTAGGTATGACCCGCCCAAGAGGGGCCGGGTTATTTCTATGATGATTCATCACAATGAAACCCAAGATTATATGGCGGTTCATAGATAGGCTTGGTAGAGGGCCCAGACCCGAAGACGGCTTAAGACCCATAGATATAAACCGCCATGTATGTAAATTTGTATTGTAAGACATGTAAGAAAGGTCATCGAGCCGGACACGTTGTATAAGCCGGCTAGGACTCTGTAGCCCGCTAGGGCGTCAACCCGTGTATATAAGGGGACGACCTAGCGGCGGCTTAAAGCAACTCTAGCAGACCCCGCATTTTGCCGACCAGTAAAATGTGTTTGTAGGTCGAACGGGGGCGGTTACACATGCCAAAATTTACGGCGGCAGACTAGAAACCGTAAACAAACCCCTAAATTTTAAAAAAAGTTGTTTCGCGCGAGAAATTTAAGCAACAGCTCGCCGGAGCTCGCTCGCATAGATGGTTCTTCTTCGCATAATAAGTTCATACACGCCACATACATACATAAAGGTTAGATATGCTAGATAGGGCCTACGCTACCGCACCACAGCAACAAAATTGAGCTTATCGAAGCTCCTGCGGTAGCTGTCCACCGGCGGCGATCAGTCGGAGTCGGAGGAGTCGGAGTCGAGGTCGACGAAGAGCTTCGCCTGCTCCTCCTTCATCACGCGCAGGTCGGCCTCCTTCGATGCGTGCGCCTGCGATGCCGTGAGGCCCGTCTTAAGGAAGAGCTGCTCGTACTCGAGCTCGCTCCGGATGCGCTCTTCCATCTCCTTCTGATCCCTCGCCGACCGCTCGATGACGACGCGCTCGAGGAGCTCCTCCTGCCTCGGTGGGAGGTAGTCATCGGGTCCGATGACGCCTCGGCGCGGCGGCGCATCGGGCACGGCCTCCTCGAGCCCCCTCTTCACCGGAACGAGCCGCGAGCTCGATGCGCCCGCGGATGAGCACCCCGTGGACCCGTGGCCGGATGAGCTCCCCGCGGACCAGTTGCCGGAGGAGGCGCGGCCGCAACGGGCGCGCTCGAGCTCGAACTCGTCGAGCTCGCGCCGGTTGAATGTCGGCGGCGGCCGGACACCCTGGTTGAGACACCAACGCGCCCACCGCTTGCGCGCGGCGTCAAATCTGACACGGCGGCGGCGCTCCGCCTCATCCCCCGAGTCGGCCATGGTGGTCCAAGGCTCGCCGACGGCGAGAAATCGAGCGGCACGGTGGGGAATTGGAGGGGAACGCGGCGGCAGGAGGATAGGGTTTCGACGCGCATCTGCCCCGCAAACCTGCAGTTATAGTGGCTCAGGGGTTGCGTTTGTGGGCTGCGGCAAAAAAAATTACGGGCCGGACACCGATGCGGGCTCTGGTCTGGCCAGAAAAATGGGCCGAGCCCGTATAATCGCCGGAATTATGCGGATTTGCGCCGGATGCGGGGTCTGCTAGAGTTGCTCTTAGGACAAGAAACAACAGCTCGAGAGCCGGATCAAGCGTATTCGCTCCCTGCTCATCGAAACCCTAGTAATACTATCTACAAACTGGACTAGGTTTTTACCTTCATTGTAAGGGGCCGAACCAGTATAAACTCTTCGTGTCCTTTGTCGTGATTAACCCCTTTAAACTTAGCTTATTGCGATGGCTCCACAACTAAGTCCTCACACTAGGACATCTGCCGTGACAATTCCACGACAAGCAATGTATTACCTAGACTAGTTTTTACAACTGAGTTGTTGTTGCGATTTCTCCCACCGCAACAACTGATCTGTTGCGGGATCTAAATCTAAATCCCCTCGACAGCAGCCACCGCCCGTGCTCCTCCAAAGCACCCCGATGCGCCACCGTTGTCGTTGGTGAGCACCCCGTCGCGCCACCGTCAAGCACCCCTGCTAACGCCGGCGAGCACGCGCTCCACCGTCGCGGTTGTCGGCCGTCGGCGAGCACACGTTCCACCGTCGCGGTCGTCGGTCGCCTCCACCACCATCAACCCTCTCTCCTCCTCCCTCTTCTCTTCTTCATCCAGCCGTGACGTCGTTGACGCTAGCGAGCACGCGCTCTGCCGTCGCGGTCGTCGGCCGCCTCCACCACCACCAACCTTCTCTCCTCCTCCCTCTCCTTGATCGGCGCCACCCACTCCTGCTGCTGCCGGTGATGAAGAAGATGACCTCCGCCCACTTCTACAACATCACTGATGTTGCAAAAAACAAATGTGCAACAAGACCGTTGTTGCAAAAAAAATCGCACCAAAACCTCTATTGCAAAAAAATATATCCACAAAAACACCTTTGTTGTAAAAAAAATCTGCAACACAACCTCAGTTGCAAAAAAATTCTGCAACACAACCTTAGTTACACAAAAATTCTGCAACACAATCTCTGTTACAAATGTTTTCGCAACAAGGCCTTTGTTGAAAAGTTGAGAAAAGAAATTCACCCCGCTAAATCTGTGTTAGATTCGACGACTCGCGAGGCAGCGGATCTTTTAAAAAATCCGCCGGCCGACGCCTAGCAGCCCCCTTATATTAATCAATAAAACATACTAGTACAAACTATCAGAATAACCGGGACATGACAGATGTCTAGAAAACTTTGCAGAAAGAACTCCACACAATTTTTTTACAAATAAATCTATTGGAGCCTCTGCAAACAACCAAATCTGCAATAGCCGTCAACCACCCGCGTTGTTGAGACGCACACCGGGGAAAGAGGCAGAGCACCAGCAAATCAAAATCCAGGCCAACGCCATAGCCTTGTAGGCATTGTGAGCCGAAGACCAGACCTGTAGAATAGGCGCTTGACGATGTGGCGTGTCGACCGAGAATGTTCCACATGCCAACCTGGATTCAGATCTAACGCATTTCGCCGCCGTTGACGGAGAAGAACGCCAAATCTGCAGTCGTCGGGCCACCAACCCTATACCAGCATCAATCTGTCCCACTTATCGGCGCCGCTATGAGAGACGACAACATCCAGACACAAGAAACATAAGGCCTATCAGTCCGAACGAACGGCAAGCAGACGAGACCATCGGCTCAGGCGTCGCCGAAAAGAAGATCGCCGTGGTGAGAAAGAGGCCGAGGCCACATTATTCGATGCAACATCAATCTCACCAAATTGGTACTACTAAACGAAAACGAAGCCCTAAATCAGTGGAACAACAGGAATGGAAACACCATCCCACCCCTCTCCAGCAGCCGTCGAAGCAGCGGACGAAGAGGGGTCGGGATCTGGCCTCACCGACGGGCAATAACTGCCGCTTCTATCATCTCAGAACAGAGCAAAGCGGTACTACAAATTCCCCGGGATTGTATTGTGTACGTGGGTATCACTGAAATAAATTTAGAACACTGTAGATTTGAGATTGACATGAATGGGTGTTGTATGAACTTTAAATCACGTTGGAGTGCATGCACGCTAACCAAAAACTGGTTCCAGCCTATGGTTATTTACTCATTTCACTGGCTATCTATTACTCCCTCAGATTCCAAAATAGATGACTCAAATTTATATTAATTTTGTATTAAAGTTAATATAAAATTAGGTCTTCTATTTTGGAATGGAGGAAGTACATCTAATACAGAACAAAAAGTCAGATTAAGTTTAGTGAGGCTTGCAAGTGCCAATTTGATATGGTCCCGATCGATCGAATTAAGGATCGAACAAGTGAGCTCCACACAAAGTACCCGCCCTATGTACTACTACCGCTAGCTAGGTTTCTAGGTACGTGCCAGTTAAGTAAATATGTAGCTAATTGCATTTCAAATGGACATAACATGTTGACTTTAGCCATGTGCCACAATCCAACGGAGGCACTGAGATCCGTCTGCATGCATGCATGTGGATGCTCACGGAGCCACAGGCCACCGCTTTGCTGCCTATAAATAGAGCACATCCATACGCCCAACATAACACACACCATTCCTCATAGCAACTTGCAAGCCTCACTAAACTTGCAAAGCCCACGACTCGTAGCAACTTTAGCCATGGCTTCCAAGCTCCAGCTCCTGCCCTCCTTCATTGCCATTGTGGTTCTCGCGGCGGTTATCCACCCTTGCGCATCCGTTGAGTTTCACCGCAAGCTCGCCAGTTGGTCTAATGCCGGCGCGACATGGTATGGCGCTGCTAATGGCGCCGGGAGTGATGGTATGCATACTTCCCAAACTGATGTATGATAAGTTAAGCTAGAATCTTTGATGAAAAAAGTATGTAGTCAAGCTAGCATCGATCATAGTTCACGGTTTAGCATCATATGTACCGTTCTAATTTACATACATATACAGGTGGGGCGTGCGGGTACAAGGGTGCCGTCGACCAGCCACCGTTTTCGTCCATGATCGCCGCCGGCGGCCCTTCTCTCTACGCCTCTGGCTTGGGCTGTGGATCTTGCTACCAGGTGCACGATCAGTGTCCCCTATGAAACAGACTGAAAACTATACCAGGTCTCGCATGCATGTGTGGTTTGTGACCTTTTGTCGTACGTAACGTGTTAATCTAGGTGAAATGCACTGGTAACGCCGCGTGCTCGAGCAGCCCGGTGACGGTCGTCATCACGGACCAGTGCCCCGGCGGCCCTTGCTTGGAAGAGCCGCACTTCGACCTGAGCGGGACGGCGTTCGGTGCCATGGCGAAGCCCGGCCAGGCCGACCAGCTGCGTGCTGCCGGCGTCCTCCAAATCCAGTTCACCCGGTACGCCCGCATCAGCGCACACTCTAACACTGCCCCGCTTGAAACGGCCAGGGTGCTACACGCCACATGCACCTCACGCACCGTTGGAACACACCTAATGATTATTACCTTTGTCACCATAGATAGACCACGGGCCGGCACATGTACTGTTTTCCATGCATAACTGCGATGCATCGATCGAGCTGTGTCCTTGATGATCCTCCGTGGTAATAACTGGTTTTTCATTACTCCGCATGTGATTTACAGCGTGCAGTGCAACTGGGCTGGAGTGAAGCTAACCTTCATCGTGGACGCCGGCTCGAACCCGAACTACTTCGCCGTGCTCATCCAGTACCAGAACGGCGACGGGGACCTCTCGGCCGTCGACCTCATGCAGAGCGGTGCCGCGGCGGCATGGGAGCCCATGCAGCACTCGTGGGGCGCTGTCTGGAAGCTCAACGCCGGGTCGGCCCTGCAGGCGCCGCTCTCCCTCCGCCTCACGTCCAGCTCTGGCAAGAAGCTCGTCGCCAGCAACGTCATCCCCCTCGGGTGGAAGGCCGGCTCTGCGTACCAGTCGGCGGTCAATTACTAATCCGTATGGGTTTTCTATATATACTTGTATTGGATTGCATGCACGAGATGGTGCAACATGCATGCAACCTATGTACTGTGTGTGCGTGTGTTCGATGTGTAGCGCGCAGTGCTACTAGGAAGAACTGAAATAACGGCGGCGAGACGGCCGTTGAGGAGGAGGCGCTGCATGGGTATGGTTCTCCCCTGTTGGCCGTTTAGTCAATGTTTATGTGGACGTGTAAAACATGTAATGACAGCTCGGTGCACTCTATCAGTGCCTAATACGTGCAATATATATGGAGTTATGTTAATGCATGTGTTGGGCTAAGTCTCTCCACATGGAGGTGTGTTGGCAGCCCAACATCAGCCCATAAGTCCAACACATATAAGCCGTTGATCCTCGCTGCATTCAATGGTTGAGAATGCTTTCAAGTGAAGTGAAGCAAGGAGAAAACCCTAGCCACTACACCCCTGCTGATGGCGGTTGTCATTCGTGAGAGTGAGAGAGAGAACACACAAGAGAAAACACAACCTGAGAGAGAGGAAGAAGTAGAAGCAGAGGTTCTGTCCAGATTTGCTGCATCTGACTAGACAATGTTCAAGCTGGTGATTGGAGGCTCAAACATGTTTGGATTGACCCCAAACTTGGTGAGCTCGTTCCTTACTTTGAGTACTTCGATATGGTTAGCTGGTTTGAGGATTGGGTCAGTGGAGTATCAGATTTGAGAGTGGTTTTGTCAGTTCTGACTGCTGCAGTTTCAGAACAGAGTAGTTTTAAGAGACGAACAGTTTGGGTAGGCAAATGATGTCCGACTGAGCTGAAATTTAGAGGGGATGTCAAGAACTCATGTGTCTACTTGTATGCCAAATTTGATGCTGTTTGGTTGAGCGGTTTAAAAGCAATTTGTAAAACACTGAAGGATACAGAAGTTGTGTAAACTCAGCTTTGCTGAAATCTTGCCTCTTGTGGTTGTTGTTGCTGTTGCCGGTTGGCAACATGGAGAGTGTGTTGTAAATCTCTCTAGAGGTTCTAGAGAAGACTTTGTACTCATCATTCTCATAGTGAAGTTGCATGGACCGGTCGGTCCACAGCCGTGGTTTTTTACTCCTCAAGTTGAGGAGGTTTTTCCACGTTAAATCATGTGTCACATGTGCATGTTGTTTGTGTTATTCCGCTGCTTACTTGTTGGTTGAAGCTGTCCTCAAAGTTCATTACAAGTGGAGGGGGATGTGTAGTGTGCATATTTACCGTGTCGGTGAATTTGTTCAACGCATTGTTGCTGTCCAGCCCCAACAAAGTGGTATTAGAGTCTTGGTTTGCTTGTACAAAGTATTGAGTTTCTTGTGGTGAAAGATGGAAGTGAATACCAGCAGGATGATATCGTTGAATGCTACAAATTATCAAGCATGGAAGGGCAAGATGAAGGACTTGTTGTATGGGAAATAATACTGGAAGCCAGTGTTCTCCACTAAGATGCCGGAGGGCATTGAGGAAGGTCAGTGGAAGGTACTTCATCGCCAAGCTTGTGGGTTCATCCGGCAATGGGTCGATGGCAATGTTTTGAACCATATCATTGATGAGACACATGCACGCACCTTATGGCAGAAATTGAAAGAGTTGTTTGCCCGGAAAGAAGGTACAAACAAGATATTCTTGATCAAACAATTGATGTGCTTGAGGTACAAAGAGGGCATTCTAATTGCAGATCATGTGAATACATTCCAAGGCATTATAAATCATCTTTCTTCAATGTGAATAACATTCGAAGATGAAGTGAGAGGTTTGCTGCTACTAGGCTCATTACCGGACAGCTGGGAGACTTTTAAGGTCACGGTTTGCAATTCAACACCTAATGGAGTTGTCACTTGGAATCTTGTGAAAACCAGGGTACTAAATGTAGAGTTCAGAAAGGTGGCTGAAGCTAGTTTTTCCTCACATTCAGAGATGTTGGTCACTCAGTCCAGGGGGAGAAGTAAGAGTAGAGGTCCAGGTAAAGGGGCAGAAAGAGGTAGGAGCAAATCAAAAAGTAAGTATGCTGATTATGAGTGTCATCACTGCCATCAGAAGGGCCACATTAAGTGGCAATGTGACAAGTGGAAGAAAGACAAAAAGAAAAAGAAGAAGCAAGATCAGAAGCAAGTTGACAGTGATAGTGACATAGAGGGCAACCGAGTTACCGCAGTAGAAGAGGACATCATGCTTGTTATGCATGAAGAAAACGAGGGTAGATTTGGTTCCACTGTTGAGGAGAAGATCATTGTTGTTTCTGATGAAACCGCCAACCTTGTGGATGGTGACGAGATGATTTGGATACCGGACAGCGGTGCTACCATTCATGCTACATCTCGCCGAGAGCTCTTCACTAACTATATATCAGGTGATTTTGGTGTTGTGAAGATGGGAAACAATGACAAAGTAGCCATCATTAGAAAAGGAGATGTGCATTTGGAGACCGCAAATGGTACAAGGTTAGTCCTCAAATCTGTGAGGCATGTCGAGGCACTTCGTCTCAATATTATCTCGGTTGGTTTGCTTGATGGAGATGATTACTTGAGCAGTTTTGAAAAAGGGCAGTACAAGCTCACCAAAGGCAACATGATTGTTGCAAGAGGTAAAATGGTCTCGGTGTTGTATCATGTTCATGCTAAGCTCTTTAGTGCTTCTGTCAATGCACTAGAGAAGGATGATCATTATGCTCTATGGCACAAGAGACTTGGGCACACGAGTGAGAAGGGGATGACAGTGCTAGTGAAGAAAAATTGTTGAAGGGTGTGAAAGGAGTTCACATCAAGAAATGTTCAGATTGTCTAGTAGGGAAGCAACACCGAGTTGCCTTCAAGACTCCACCTCCTCACAAGAATCCTGAGAAGCTGGACTTGATACATTCCGATGTTTGCAAAATGTTGGTAAGATCTCTTGGTGGTGCTAAGTACTTTGTGACTTTTATTGATGACTTTTCCAGAAAAGTTTGGGCCTTCACTTTAAAGACCAAAGATCAAGTACTAGGTGTATTCAAGCAATTCCAAGCCTCGGTTGAGAGAGAAACTAAGAAGCAGATCAAGTGCATTCGCACTGATAATGGAGAAGAGTACATTGGGCCATTTGATGTATATTGCAAGCAGTAAGGTATTAGGCATCAATTTACTCCCTCGAAGTCACCATAGCTGAATGGTCTTGCTGAGAGGATGAACAGGACAATTGTGGAGAGAGTTAGATGCTTGTTGTCAAGTGCAAAGCTACGCAAACACTTTTGGGGTGAGGCTTTGATGACTGCAGTTTATCTTATTAATCTCTCACCAAGTTATCCTTTGCAGGGAGGTGTTCCTAATAGGGTCTAGTGTGACAAGGACGTCTCATATGACCACCTGAAGATTTTTGGGTGCAAGACCTTTGTTCATATTCCTCAAGATGAAAGGTCAAAGCTTGATTCGAAGACACGGCAGTGTATCTTTCTTGGCTATGGTGGTGATGAGTATGGCTACAAGCTGTTTGACCCTATAGCAAGGAAAGTTGTGAGAAGCCATGATGTTGTGTTTGTTGAAGACCAAACAATTAAGGATATTGTGAAGACAAAGGGGTAGGTTCCTCCTCAGCAGCAGCAAGACATGATTGATTCTAACCCAGTTCCTACAGCTCCAGCTCCCGTGCAAGTTGAAGCAGATGCAGAAGATGTACATGGTGGTGGAGGTGAAGAAGATGCTCCCCAGCAGCAGCAACAAGAGTATGATGCTGAAGTTGATGATCCGGATTAGCAGGAAGCACCAGCACCAGAAAGTCCACCAGCTGCTCCACTCAGAAGATCCAACAAGGGTCGAATTCCTTCCAGCAGGTATCCCTCAGATCAATACGTGGTGTTATTATCTGACGATTCAGAACCTGAATGCTTTGCATATGCAATGGAAGATGAGCACAAGGAGTGGAAAATGCTATGCAAGAAGAGATGAATTCCTTGCATAAGAATACTTATGAGTTGGTGAAGTTGCCCAAAGGTAAGAAAATTTTGAAGAACAAATGGGTCTACATAATCAAGCAAGAAGAACACACATCACATCCAAGGTACAAGGCCAGGCTAGTTGTAAAAGGATTCGGCCAGAGAAAAGGCATTGACTATGATGAGATATTTTCTCCGGTTGTGAAGATGACATCCATAAGAGTAATCCTTGGCATGGCAGAAAGTCTCAACTTGGAGGTTGAGCAAATGGATGTAAAGACTGCATTCCTTCATGGTGAGTTGGAGGAAGAAATATACATGGAGCAACCTGAGTGGTTTCTTGTGAAAGGCAAAGAAGACTATGTGTGTAAGCTGAAGAAAAGTCTCTATGGCCTGAAACAAGCACCAAGACAATGATACATGAAGTTTGAAACTATCATGGGGGAGCAAGGCTACAGGAAGTGTAGCTCAGATCATTGTGTGTTTATTCAGAGGTTCTCAGGTGGTGATTTCATCATATTATCGCTCTATGTTGATGATATCCTGATTGTTGGTAAGAATGTCTCTAGTATTGCTAAGTTGAAGAAGGAGTTGAGCAAATGTTTTGCTATGAATGACTTATGTCCAGCAAAGAACATTCTCGGAATGAGAATTGAGCGAGACAGAAATTGCAACAAGTTGTACTTGTCTCAAGAGAAGTATGTTGAGAAGGTACGTTGGAAGTTCAGGATGGAAAATTCTAAAGTTGTGAGTTGTCCACTAGCAGCCCATTTCAAGTTGAGCTGAAAGCAATGTCCTACCACTGATGAGCAGAAAAAAATGCATCATGTTCCTTATGCTTCAGCGGTTGGGAGTTTGATGTATGCTATGGTGTGTACAAGGCCTGACATTGCTCATGGGGTTAGTACTGTGAGCAAATTTATATTCAATCCAGAAATACCTCATTGGTAAGCCTTGAAGTGGATTCTGAGATATCTTCGGGGCAGCACAAATTTGAAATTTTGCTTCGGTGATGGTGAGGCCAAGCTGATTGCTTTTTCAGATTCTGACATGACTGGAGATGTTGACAGAAGAAAGTCTACTTCAGATTATTTGGTTACCTATGCAGGGGGAGCGGTGTCATGGCAAAGCAGGCTGCAAAAGTGTACTGAATACAACTGAAGCTGAATTCATGGGAGTAACAGAGGCGAGCAAAGAGCTATTGTGGCTGAAACGGTTGGCTTGTGAGCTTGGTTTTAAGCAAGACAAATATGTGTTATTTTATGACAACTAAAGTGCTATCCACTTAAGTAAGAATGCAAGCTTTTATTCAAGGTCTAAGCGTGTAGAGGTCCGTTATCATTTGATTCGAGATGTGTTGTATTCCAAAAAAAATGCAACTTGAGAAAGTTCACACCGATGACAATGGGGCTGATATGTTGACTAAAGTGGTGACATGGCTGCCGGAAGGCAGTGAGACCCTCCATGATGTCGGGGGGGGGGCTTGTTGGGCTAAGTCCCTCCACATGGAAGTGTGTTGGCAGCCCAACATCAACCCATAAGTCCAACACATGCAAGCCGTTGATCCTTGCTGCATCCAACGGTTGAAAGTGCTTCCAAGTGAAGTGAAGCAAGGAGAAAACCCTAGCCACTCCACCCCTGCTGGTGGCGGCTGCCATTCATGAGAGTGAGAGAGAGCACACAAAAGAAAACATAACCTGAGAGAGAGGAAGAAGTAGAAGCAGAGGTTATGTCCAGATTTGCTGCATCTGACTAGATAGTGTTCAAGCTGGTGATTGGAGGCTCAAACGTGTTTGGATTGATCCTAAATTTGATGAGCTCGTTCCTTACTTTGAGTACTTCGATCTGGTTAGCTGGTTTGAGGATTGGGTCAGTGGAGCATCAGATTTGAGAGTGATTTTGTCAGCTCTGACTGCTGCAGTTTCAGAACAGAGTAGTTTTGAGAGATGAACAGTTTCGAAAGACAAATGATGTTCGATTGAGCTGAAATTTGGAGGGGATATCCAGAACTCATGTGTCTACTTGTCTGCCAAATTTGATATTGTTTGCTTGAGCGTTTAAGAGCAGTTTGTAGAACACTAAAGGGTACAGAAGTTGTGTAAACTCTGCTTTGCTGAAATTTTGCTTCTTGTGGCTGTTGTTGCTGTTGCCGGTTGGCAACGTGGAGAGTGTGTTGTAAATCTTTCTAGAGGTTTTAGTGAAGACTTTGTACTAATCATTTTTATAGTGAAATTGCGTGGACCGGTCGGTCTATAGCGGTGGTTTTTTACTTCTCAAGTTGAGGAGGTTTTTCATGTTAAATCTTGTGTCACATGTGCATGTTGTTTGTGTTATTCCGCTACTTACTTGTTGGTTGAAGTTGTCCTCAAAGTTTATCACAAGTGGAGGGGACTGTGTAGTATGCATATTTGTCGTGTCGGCGAATTTGTTCAGCGCATTATTACTGTCCAGCCCCAACATGCTGTGATGTGTGCCAGTGTATGTTTAATTTTGTTTATCCATGCATGTTCCTAATCAATATACAACCCTAGAGTTAGAAATTTATTTTTTATTTTTTAGAACTATTTATTTTTCTTAACTAGAGATCGACAATATTGAAAATGTCTGGAATGGTACAAGGCGACAAAGGGTGCAACAATCAAGTTACATCCAACTAAAAAAATCAAGTTACATCAGTTTGTATGACCAGTTCGCCAATTCGGTCAGGATGGACCGTTTTCTTAGTCTCAAATTCAAAAAAAATGTTTAAAACATGTATTTTAAATATGTTAATAATGTATAAAAAATGTTCAGTGTGTATAAAGAAATGTTAAAAAATGTAGAACGTGTGTTAAAAAAATTAGACAAGTACTGAAAAAAGGGAAAAAGATATAAAATACAAAAAGACAACGAAAACACAAGAAAAGCATAAAGAAAACACAACAAATGAAAGGAAAAGAAAAAACAATGAAAACTATATAAAAGCGATGAAAGTCATAATGAAAAAACAAAATAATAACAAGAACATTGTAAAACGAGACCAGTCCAGGGTTTTTTTCTGAGGCAAAGAAGAAAAAGAAACCAACGTATAGCTCGCTCGCTACTCACGAAGTGAAGAAACAGGCCAGCCCAGTAATGACGCGATGGGAAAAACCCTTGAGGCAAAACTACCATAAGACTCGCAAAATGCGTGAAATAGCTCTTGCGACGAGAAGGTACTCCATCTTGTAGTAGGCAAGTCGCTTTTTATGGTTTTTGGTTTTCTTTTCTATTCAATACATGTATCTTTTTCATACACTTTGGACATTTTTTATATACATCTGGAATTTGTTAGACATTGATTTTTTTTTAAAGATGTGATGAACATTATTCCAAATACATATTATGAAATGTTTTTTAAAGGGTCGGAACATTCGTTTTAAACCTTTTGGACATTTTTTTATATTGTATAAACACTTTTCAAAATTTACGAACATATTTTCGAAACCATGAACATTTTTTTGAGTGGAAGAAATCATTTTTTAAACATTACGAAAATAGTTTTGAAACTAGTGAATATTTTTTAAGTATGATGTACATTTTGTTATTGCTATGAAACATTTTGTTTTAATTATGCGAACATATTTTTACATTATTAAATGTTTTAAAATAGCAAAAATATTTTATTTAAAATCTGTAAACATTTGCTAAATGCTACGAACATTTTTTGAATGCTATCAACATTTTTCTAAAAGTTGCACAAACAATTGACACGCGTGGAGCACTATTCTGATTAGCGATTTTCTTCTGTTTCTTATCCTTAAGTTTTTCAATCGTTTTTCCTCTGAAAAAACTAGCTGTTGAACTTAAAAACAATGTACATGAAATTTAGAAAATGTTCTAAAATTGAAAAGGTGTGTATTTTCCGACCCCTTTTTGTTTACTCTAATTTTCGTTTAGTTTTGAATTTGTGTTGCTTTTAAGTTTTGTATTTTTGTTGCAGTTGCACTTTTTCCGCAATTGCACTTTTCTTACATAATTGCATATTTTAATACACTTGTACTTTACTGATGGGACATAAAAATGACTCCAACTTCATAAAACTTGAAGGCCTCTTTGATTGGCATGATTCTAAAAATGCAGGAATAGGAAAAACATAGGGTTAGAACGTCATGATCATGTCAGTCCTATAGGATTTCGGTTTGTTTGGCACCATCGTAGGAAAAATGAAGAATTCATTCAAAGAGGTTTGATTGGATGCTGGAAATCCTATGGGAAGTAGTTAAAAGAAATGCTTAGGAAAAATTCCTATAGGATTCAATCATATGAATCAAACAATCAATATAGGAAAAAAAATATTTGGATTCTAATCCTCCAAAATTCCTATGAAAATTCTTTGAATCAAAGGAGCCCTGAGGGTTTGCCCTCCACGCATGGAAAGTATTCAAAATGCCTAGCATGGGCCGAATGGTGCAACAATTAGGTTGCGTCAGTTTGTATGACCAATTGGCTCAAGATGGGCCGTTTGAGATTTGGGGCGTTGGTGGAACTGGGCGTCGGTGGCAGCCTGATGGTCGAAGGCGAGTATGTCATGGCACCAGACGCCGAGACGGTGTTCGTTGCAGGATAAAGTGGGGGGGGTGGGCTGACGGGCGTGGTGGTCAAGGAGGAAACTGCAGCTCGCCGTGGACGGCGCGACAGCGGAGGAGAGATTTGGGGCCGAGTAGGGCGAGGATCTTCTAGATGACGATCTCATCCGGGAGGCCGAGGAGGAGAGGCCTCCTCCGCGGCTGTGAACTGGGGCCTCCATCATGGTCGGCGGTTGTGAAAACGAATTGTGATGGCGGCGGCCGTGAGGGGAACGAAAAGATCTTTCGGCTAGAAATAAGATCCTACACTATCATATCTTTCTTAATAATCATGATACTTAACATCCCCCTACACTCGCAATGGCAGCAACGCAGACAGTGAGACTGGAGAAGAATCTGAAGGTAAGCCGACGGACATCTCCCCATAGCCGTAATGGTCGATGCATCATGGAAGTTGTGGCTGGAGTGAAAATCGACGAGGTTGCTCAAGCAAGGCGGTAGCCCTTTTCGCTGTTGTTGAGGTAGCCAAGAGCGTGGGTGGTGTAGCCGTGGTCGATGCCGAGTCGGGGTGGCCGGTGTCGAGGTAGTTGTCGTGGAGCCGCGGGGGCAAGGAGGCGCCGAGTTAATCATGGGCACAGTGGTGTCGAAGTAGTGATGTGCCGGGAAGAAGATGTTGTTGACGAGGCGTCGGGTCGGGTTTGCCAAGCCCGGGACACATTGTGGACGAAGGCACGCATCTGTGTTGCCAGAACCGGGCATGCGTAGACGGACGAAGTCGGTATTGACGATGCGCCACTCCAGGCTTGCCAGGCATGGGGACACATCGTGGACGAAGGCACGTGTCGATGTTGGCAGCACCGGGCATGCGTAGATGGGAACCAACACGAGTTGTACACCATGTCGAGGGGGCTAGCAGAGAAGGACACGACGACGGTTGCGGCGCCAGTCGACGCGAGGCTGATGTCGCCCGCGGTGGTCGGAGTAGATGAAGTGGCCGGGGAAGATGATGTTGACGTTGAGGATGAGCTGGTGCTGGATGAAGATGAAGTGGGATGGACGGCTGCATGGCTTAGGTGTGCGAGCGGCCCGACGGCGGCGGTGGCAGAAGGTTAGGAGCACGGCGGCAATGGTCGAAGTAGGCGAGGAAGAGCCCGACAGCGTGACGAAGACCGACGCAGACGGTGACGTTCCCGTGCCAAGGGAGCCTGCGCAGCGCATACCACGTGGAAGTCGACGCGTGGGGACGGCGGAGGGGATCGCGCGCCGCGATGCTACGGCCCGAAGGAGCGACACAATGGAAATGCGCGGGTCGGGGTGACGGCGGGAAGACCTCAGGGCCGTGGTGTTGACCATCTGTCGCGCTACTATGGCCGAAGGGCCGAAGCAGCGGCAACGCGCGGGTCGGTGCAGCCACGGGGAGAATGACGGGGTGGCGGCGCTGCGGCCTGACGGGGAGACGCGGTGGCAGCCCGTTGCTCGATAGGTGGAGGGGCACGCTGTACTCGGGCACAACCTTCACATGACCTGCGGATGCGCGTGCAACATGGGTGGAGCGGATCGCGGCAGGCGGGTGATCAATCCGATCGCACACAAGGTCGGGGGCGCTGCTCGGTGATGATGACGGTGAAGCGGGGTGGTCAAACGACCAAGACAACAACGGCCGGCGGGGAATAGCGTGTGGAAGAGCGCGTCCAGCGCTTGAGCAGCCAACGCATCACCGACGAGGCCGACGAGTCCATGGCAGTTGGCGAGGGGGTCGAAGCAGTCGGCCGGCCCGAGGCAGCCGGCAAGGTGGCTAACGCAGCCAGCAGCCGGCAGCGGAGACGGTGGGTGATGCAGGAGTCCTGTTGGGAGCATGGTTGCGACGGCCGTGACAGGCCGGTTGGGCGAAGTAGAGGCCGGGTAGTCGCATCAGTGTCGGAGTAGAGGTGTAGGGTCAACGGCAGTGGCGGGCGACGCAAACCGATCTTAGATTGGAAAACCAAAAATAAAAACGCCGATCAAGATAACCGGCGGGAGAGAAGAACTCGGATCAAAGGATCAAGAAAAAGAATCTAGGGCAGCAAGTCAACACGACCGGCGGACGAACCCTAGGTACAGGCGGCGCGGCCCTGGTGGCGGTCATCAAGACCGACCGCCCCGGGGGTGGCGTGGAGCGGAAGCTGCTGCGGCTAGGGTTTGGATCGGTTAGACTGATACCATATTAGAAGGGATAGAGGGGGATTGGTGGAATCAATGTTTATTGCTCATGATACTCAATATCATTCAATCCTATGAATGAAACAATCAACATAGAAAAAAATTCTTAGGATTCTAATCCTTCAAAATTTCTATGAAAATTCTTTTTTCTAACACATTCTATGAAAATTCTTTCAATCAAAGGAACCTTGAGGGTTTGCCCTCCACGCAAAGTATTGAAAATGACTGGCATGGGCCGAATGGTGCAACAATTTTTTTGAGCATAATCTGTATCCTTTATTAAGCATGAACAGTCATTGGAATACAGATAATATCGGGCATAGATGAAAGCCACACATGGAGCCCGGGAGGGAGGGATGCGGCAGCCTTAGCTAAAGCATGAGCCTCTCCATTATGTTTTCTGCTCTCATGGATAAACTCTACTGCCCTCAAAGCTCTTCTCTGATGCTTGATATCTTGCAGAATTGGGAAAAACTTGCATGTGAAGTCATCCTTGATCCTTGTCACCACTTCTAGGCAATCTGTGGCCACACTTATGGACTGGACTTGTAAGTCTGTAGCGAGCGCTAGCGCCTCGCTACAGGCTTGTGCTTCGAGTATCACCGGATCCAGGAGGCCTTCGACAATGATCGCGGAAGCCCCAAGGTAGTTCATGTTTCTGTCTCGACACACTACTGCGGAAGCGCCCTTGTCGCCAATCTTGGAGAAGCCTTCGTCAGCATTGATCTTGGTATCGTGCAGTTCTGGCGGTAGCCATGCAGACCGCATCGGCTGTCCTGCGCCCGTAGTTACATGCGAGTCCCTGGGCATTGCATGCATGCCCCTGGATATTGCATGCAAGTCCTTCGATTGCGCGTGCAGGTCCTTCGTGCGCCCCCCTCCCTCTCTGGGATTTGATCAAGCTCCGCCATGAACTTGGTGATGAAAACATGGGTACTGAGGGGGCTCTGGAACTGCTCGTCATGGATAGCTCGGCGTCTCGCCCACCAGATTGCCCACATCGCGACAAGCACCCGCGCCAGGTCCGCCATGGGAAGGGTATCCACTAACCAAAACATCCATAGCTTAGCATCATCCGTCCGATTAGAGATGATTGTTTCAGTGATTTCTTCATCAGCGAGAGCCCATACACACCAAGCCATATGGCAATCAAAAAGAGCGTGACGCCACGTATCCACCGCCGCGTGACAGATAGAGCATTTAGCGGAGTCGGCCATGCTTCTGTGTTGTCGAACAGCCCCCGTGGGTATAGAGGTTTTGGCAAGTCTCCACGCAAAGACACGTACTTTTGAGGGAACCGCTGCTCCCCAAAGTCTGGCCCATGAACGACTATCGGTTGTGACGTTGGAGTGACTGTCATTATGCTCCATCCAATCTGTACGTTGTTGTTTTGTCGCTGCCAGCAATTTGTACGCTGAACTCACAGTGAAGATCCCTCTCCTCTCGTAATGCCACGACCAGAAGTCAACATGAACCTTGCTGCTAAGGGGGATGTTGAGGATTGCCTCCACGTCCATCGCGTACATATGTTCATCAAGCACTGGACGGTTCCAGGTGTGGGTGACCGGGTTTATAAGCTCAGATACCTGTTGAGGAGGATTCTGGGATTTTGGGCTAACCGGCCGGAGTTTGAAGTCGCGGGGGACCCAGTTATCGTGCCAAATGTTGGTACCATCTCCTGATCTGATGCGTTTCAAAAGGCCGAGCTTTAGTGCATCCCGCCCCTCAACGATAGACCGCCAAACTTGTGATGGGTTCCTCCCCACTTCTGCGTCAAGGATTGAAGAAGATGGATAGTATACCGCTCGCAGAATCCGGGCGCTGAGAGAGTCCGGCTGGGTCAGAAGCCGCCAGGCTTGCCGGGCAAGTAGTGCCAAGTTGAAGAGCTCAATGTCTCGGAAGCATCAGTTTGTATGATCAATTGGCTCAAGATGGGCCGTTTGAGTGTTTGACCCCCCACGTGCACATATATGGACGCAATCACGCAACTAACCCGGCCGGATGAGTCCTCTTTACCCAAAATCTCCGTCATCACAGGATCCGCCGCTCCGGCTCAGTTGACCCCGGTGCATGCATGTATGCGCACCCTCTCCCTAAACCTCAGTAGTCGCCGCCACGTTCGCCTCCATAATTCGTGTGTGCACGACTAAACGTATTCGCTCCCACGTTTATAACTCCTAAACCCTCCTATATATACCACCCCTAATCGCACTAGTCCTGCAAGCAACACCGAGTTCTTCGTAGTACCACTCAACAAACCTAGCTAGCCCCTTGGTTTTCTGTCTCCTGACTGAGAAAATCATCAATGGCTAGTCCAGGCACATTGCTGCTGGCGACGGTGCTCGTCATCCTATCAATTTTCGTAAGCCCCATCTCCGGCTACTGGAAGCCGAGCCGCACCCGCACCAGGCGCCCTAGCAGCCGCCGGTCCTGGTCCTCCGGCGGCGCGACGTGGTACGGCAGCCCCTACGGCGCCGGCAGCGACGGTAAGTCTCTCGTACATGTACAGAGTATAAACACTTGTCGGACTGAGACTTACTCTTTTTCCGTGGGCGAAATGCAGGTGGCGCGTGCGGCTATCAAAGAGCCGTCGGCCAGCACCCGTTCTCGTCGATGATCGCCGCCGGCGGGCCCTCCTTCTTCAAGAGCGGCAAAGGCTGCGGTTCATGTTATCAGGTACGCACGTAGATCGGTCGGCATATATGATCACATTTAGGATTTAGCAATTTCATGTGAATCAGCGTGCAAAGTGGATGTACGTTACAGGTCAAGTGCACCGGTAACAAGGCCTGCTCCGGCCGCCCGGTGACCGTCGTCATCGCCGACAACTGCCCCGACGGTATATGCGCCTCGGAGGATCATTTCGACATGAGCGGCACCGCCTTCGGCGCCATGGCCAACCGAGGGATGGCCGACCGCCTCCGCTCCGCTGGACAGCTCAAGATCCACTACGCGAGGTGAAAATGCATTTTTTTGACCTGACAATCCTAGAGTGTGTTTACCGAAGGCGTGCGTGCGTAACACTGGTCAGTTAATTTCCTCAGGGTGCCCTGCAACTACAACGGCATGAACATTGTCTTCAAGGTGGACGCGGGCTCCAACCCCTTCTACCTCTCCGTGCTGATCATGTACCAGGCCGGCGACGGAGACCTCTCTGCCGTCGACATCATGCAGGGCGGCTGCGCGCCCGGCCACCACAACGACCACGGCGCGCCGTGGATGGCGATGACGCAGTCGTGGGGCGCGCTGTGGCTCCTCCAGTCGAACAACGGGAAGCCTCTCCAAGCCCCGTTCTCGTTCCGGCTCACCTCGGGTTCCGGCAAGGTCCTCGAGGTCACCAACGCCATCCCTTCCGGCTGGTCGGCCGGCACGTCCTACAGCTCCTCGGCGAACTACGCCAGTTAGGGCGGTTGGCGCCGACTGTATGCTTTAGATCTCGTTCTGCAATTTGTGAGCTTTTACCTTGTCAAAGGCCGGTATCCGGTAATCGGCATGCATGCGCGTCCGGGAATTGTGAGCGGCCGCGTCAGAAGAGGAAGAAAGTCAAGTGTTCTTGTGTTGTGTTCTTTGCTCTTCCCTCTCCGAGGCCACTGCCTTGCAGTTGTTTCCTAGTGATGTCTTCTTCTTGAGTTGTACTGATGCAGCAATAGATGCGATGTTTCTTGGGTCCATTTATCGCCCAGGCTATGGTTTGGGGTGCTGAAACTTGGTATACGAAAATGGCCACAAAATCAGAAGAAAAGAACTTGTTAACTAAAAGCGGAAAATATGCAAAAGCTGGTTGGACAAACGGGATCATGAACGTTCGCCGTAATGCCAAATACATCAAAAATAGACATTTTAGTATATTTTACTTGCATTCTGAACTAGAGGAAAAATAGACAAAAGGAGGAAAGATAACACAAATAATGACAAAAAAATTGCACTTGTGCAGAAGTAATATTTAACACATTCGCAAATCACAGAGCATGACTAGGCACATAACCCCACTTCACTAAATATTTGCATTCTCAACCAAAGTTACATCTTGGTAATGTGCAAACTAGAAAATATTTGACTGCATGCAAATAAATTTTTAACCTATTTGTAAGTTGTCCAAGAATTGTTTGAAATCCTCAACCACTCGAGGCTTTGAATCACATCCAGCCACTCTTATGTCCATTTAGGATGCGTTTGGTAGGTTGCATCCTTTTTGGGCTATTTGCATCTGTGACTAAGGTGGGTCTGGTTGAGTGAATACAACCAAAATAAATAAATCATGTTTCACACATAGTTTGGCTATCTGCAATATTGCACCATTGAGCAATTTTATGACAAGTTTTCGGTTGGCGGGAGTTCTGGATTATGGTTGTCAATGTGCAAAACATGATGCTTGGTTGTGCACGACCTATGTTGTGGTCACCCTTCTCACTAGTGGTGACATTACCATACATTACACTACATATGCAATATGAAATAAACATCGTTTTAGTCATAACTAGTAATGAAATAGCAGTTCATCCTAACTACTAACAAATTGCAGTGCAAATTAATAGTCATATGGCTCAGTAGGGGAAAGTTCGTCGATGCTGCACTTCATATCCTTGTGTTACCTCTGTTTGCCCACATTGTCGCAGCCCACTTCAACATTTTACTCTTTCAAGTTTTATTGTCATGTGTATCCACACCATGGCTGGAGTCATCAATATCATCAATCGTCACATCTTCCTCCTCCGGCACAAGCTCATCACAACCTCGTTCTAGGATCCAGTTAAAGAGAATGCAACATGCAAGAGCAAGCCTAACTAGGATGGGAAAAGAGTGGAATGACTTTTGATCCATGATCTTAAATCTATTCTTCAGAGCTCTAAATGGCCTCTCAGCCGTAACTCTAAGGCTATAGTGTTTGAGATTGAACAATTTTGCAGCAGTCATAGGATGGTTACTTGAAGAGAATGGCACATGCTTTTCTTGAAGGGTTGAAGGACACCAAGCCGACATGCATATCTTGCATCTCCTAGTTAGAACTTACCATTGGGTATATTGATCCCATCAGGTCTAGACATGCTATCAGTAGGAATGTTAGCACCATGGGTTGATCCTTCCCAGCCAGTTAACACATATACATGTGAAGTTCAGATCAAAGTCAACAGCAGCATGCACACTCTGGCTTGTGTAATATTTTTTACCCCCTCTATGTTGTAACATGTGACCTCGACACTCTATTAGTCACATCAGTATCATCTATTGTGCCAATACAATCCTGTGTTGGCATGAAAACACATTTTTATGGCTCTATCACAACAATACAAGTATGTCATGGCATGAACTATGAGTAGTGCTCACCTTGAAATATGAATACCATCCTGTGTTCATGCGAATCTTGGTAGGACTATTAACAGTTGGTGGCTTGATTATCTCTCCTCTGAGCTCCCCAATAGCATGCAAGACTTTCTTGAAATACCTGGAAATGGTCTCATTGGAAATCCTGAATGTGCTGTGAATAACCCTGAACCTCTAATTATGACCTACAACATCAAGGAACATGACAACTTGATCTTCCATAGAGGTATGGATTCTTTCTTCTAGTAGCCCTGGTCCAAAATGTATCCACAAGCTTGGCAAGAGGTGCTTGTCGCATTCGAAGCATGTTCAAAGTTGTTGTTGTTAACGCACAAGGGCCACAATCTAGATAATGAAATCACTTACATGTGACATAACAATGCCAAAGCATTATAAGCCTTAGGGCATATCGAACCCTCAAAACGCCTTCAACCGTCTGTACCACACGGTTCGGACATGTTTTGCCTTCCAACGTGGTCCTCCATCGGTCTGTTCGATGGTCCGGACACACTTTCTCCTGCAAACTGGAGACAAACTAGGGGGCTTTGCGGGCGTCCGGAACGCTGCCACGCCCGCATCTGACTAACCTGGCCCACCAAAAAACCCTCTCCTGCACCCGCACACTTTCCTGCCCTACTTTGGTCTGCATCGCTTCGAAGCATCACTGCCGCATTCATGCCGGCCCAGAGCGGATGCGACCTGTCACTAGAGTCGGCATTGAAGTGGCGTCTCGATCGAGAGCGATGCCACGCCGCTTCCCGATGCATGTCTCGCCTCTCCGAATTCAAACGACAGTAGTCCATCCGCCTCCCTCCATTAAACACACACGGTTGTTGAGTAACTTGTTCCGGTGCCACCCGTCCATCCGTGTGCTGCCCACCATTAAGGACCTCGCTGCTTGGCCTGCCCTCTGGCCTACTATTTAACCGGCCCCACAGGCGGGCAGTAGATCCGCATCCATCCACACTCTTCTGCTCTCTATCTCCTCTCCACACCACACTTGCCATGGCCTACTAGAGCTCCAAAGGCCTTGTGGGATGACCTGTCGTCCGAACAGAAGGGGGAGATCGCCGCCATTGTGGTCGGCTGCAGAGCGCCAGCCAGACGAGCTCACTGGAGGCTAGTGCTGCCGATGCGCCAATGGCCGAGGCGGCCGATGATGAGCCGATGCCACCGTCCGTGCCGGCCAATGCCAACATCACCATGGGCGAGGCCCGTGCTCACTACATGGACATGGTGCTGGAAGAGCGGGAGGCCGCGTTCCGGTAGGCGCAAGCCGACCAAGCCTACAATCTCCGCCTCCTCGACGAGTACCGGCATGCAAAAGGGCGACTCACTGCCGGCACGACCATTGCAATGGACATGGACGTGCCCGAGCAGGAGGTGCTACTCAAGTCCTACAGCTCCGCCCGCGACATCCGCTGCGAGCACTAGCGCTACCACCAGTATCAGGCGGATTTAGAGGCCGCCTACAAGGAGATGGACGAGGCGGTGGATGAGGTGTTCAGCAAGAGCGAGGACGAAGACGAGGTCGCCAGCTCGGCCGCGCCCCGCCACCATGACCACGAAGCCGGCTCGTCCACGAGCGCCACCGACAATGAGGAAGAGTAGGCCATGGGAGGTCGCCGACCCTTGTATCCCATGGAAGCCACTGCTTCTCCCCTCTTGTTGAAGCCAAGCTTGGTGGCCTCCTCATCGTCGGCCGATTAGCCGCTTGCGGCGCAAGGAGGCGGATAGCTTCACTTCCCAGCGCTGATGTGCGCGGAGGAGGCGGGGCTTCATTCTTCGGGGCTCATGGCAGGCCGGAGATGAAGAATGGGCACCGGTGGCCATTTTAGGTTAGTTCTAGAGTTCGGTCTAGTTGAAATATGTCTAAATGTAATGAATTTGTTTCAGTTTAGATAAAAAACATCCAGTTTTATCTAAAAGTTATCCAAGTATGAATGAATATTGTCCGATGCATTCAAATATACATCAAATTTTTTCATTTTCACTTAAATTCTTCCAAATGTAACGGGACGCATGCCGACAGCTTTGGATTGTCGTTGCATCAGTCTCATGTCCTCAGACAAACGCGGTGTCCGGTTTAGTGGTCGGCGTTGGAGGTGCACTTAGACACAACCAAAAACTAACTGTAGTTGCGCCACGTTCTCATGTCTGTAGTCATCCTATAATTAAAACTGTCCTATATGTACCACCCAAATAATCCCTATATATAGATTTGCAAGTTAACCAGTCGTTACTATAAAACGGTACCTATATATATACATGCCATCAAATAGTATCTTCTCTTCATTCCGTCAACCAAGAGAAAGGATGGCTTGCAGTCGAGGCATATTCCTATCTGCCACCTTCGCCGTCCTGTCAATCCTATCACTCCCAAGGGCGACGCACGGCTGGGCGAACGGTGGCGCAACGTGGTACGGCGGCCCTAACGGCGACGGCAGCGAAGGTACATTCATGGATATGACTTTGCACGCACGATAACCGGCAACAACGCGAGGAAAACTCACTCTACTACGCCAATGCGATACGCAGGTGGCGCGTGTGGTTATAAAAGCGATGTCGGCCAGGACCCGTTCTCGTCGTTGATCGCCGCCGGCGGAGTGGGCATCTTCAAGAACGGCAAAGGCTGCGGTTCATGCTATCAGGTGGACGACACAGTCGTTCGTTTGTTCCATGTGCCACGTTTGACGTTCAGATTATTTTGCTGTGCTAATTAATCAAATGCCCTACAGGTCAGGTGCAAAGAGAACCCGGAATGCTCCGGCAAACACGTGACCGTCGTCATCACCGACCAGTGCCCCGACGCGCAGTGCCAGAAGAGGCCGCACTTCGACATGAGCGGCACCGCCTTCGGCGCCATGGCCAAGCCCGGGATGGCCGATAAACTGCGTAACGCCGGAGTCCTCAATATCGAATTCGAGAGGTGAAAAACGCATTCGAGTTTTGTTTTACAGATCGATCTCGTCCGATTAACGTTGTGCACATGCACGGATGTGCTGTGAATGATAGGGCGACCAACTGATGTTGGTGTCTTACTTTTCTTTCATCAGGGTGCCGTGCAAGTACCATGGCAAGAA